CCAGCTATTGCTTAGGTTGGCAGCAGACCTTGTCATCATCCACATGGTGCTGGTTTTACAGGCAAGCATAATACAAGAGTTTCAGGATCATGGAGGCTTCAACCAAGATTTCAAAGGAAGGCCCGGGAGGCCAGGCAATGTTTGGCAGGGTCAGAGTTCCTGTAGGCAACACAGCTATGTGTGAAGTTGTGAGGGTGAATCCTAAGCTGCAGTGGAGACCCCTGGACATTGGAGATGCCAGAAACGGAACATCTGCTGAGGAAAGCCACAGGCAAGGAGGAGAGCCAATCCAAGAGAGAAGTCATGTGGGCTCCAAATGGCAAGGCCATAGGGGTAGGTCTTTCCAAGCCCTCTGAAGGTCAGACATGGAGCTATGAGATTAAAAGTTGGTCCTGGTGGGTTTGGATCATGCTTTGCTCCTATCCCTCCTTTTAATGCCCCCATTCCTCTCTTTTGGAATGGGAATGTTTATTCTGTGTCACTGTATCTTGAGATTATGTAACTTGTTTTTTTATTTTACAGGGGCTTATAGTTAAGAATTTGCCTTGAGTCTCAGAGGAAACTCTGGACTTTGACTTTTAAACAAAGATGGAAGTGCTAAGACTATGGAGACTCTTGGAGATGGACTAAACGCAATTTACAATATGAAACGGCCATGAGCCTTTGGGGTTCAGAAGTGGGATGTTTTGATGTGAATATGAAATGCTCCCCACAGGCTTATGTACTGAACACTTGATTCTCAAATGGAAGTGCTATTTTAAGAGGCAGGGACTAGCTAGAGGAAGTAGCTAGCTAGTGGCTGCTGCATTTTGTTCTAGGCCCTTCTCCCCCACCCCTTTCTGCTTTCTGGTCACTATGAGGTGAAGAACCTCCTTCCTCACATACAACCTCCTGTCTCCATGATATTCTACTTCAGCAGAATCAACAGAGCTAAGATCAATGGACTGAAATCTCTGAAATGGTGAGTCAAAATAAATCCTTCCTCCCTTAAGTTGTTTGTGTCTGGTATGTTGCCACAGAAACAAAGTCTGACTAAAGCAGTGAACAAAAATGGAAATACAATATACCAACATTTATAGATGCAGCAAAATCAGTACTCAGAAGAACATTGACAACTTTAAAAGCCTACACTTAAAAAGAAGAAAAATCTCAAAGATACTGAGAACTGAACTAGTGAACAGACCATCAGAGGTCCCAGACTGAACACTGGGCTGTACACATACAGGACAGACCCCAACAGTACTTCAAAGTCTTTGAAAACTGAACTGAAATTGGGATCACAGCCTACAGACAGCACTTTGGAACATGCAGACTAAGCCTAATCAAGTTGATCTCACATCAAAACAAAAATTCAACATTCTGCATGGAAATTAAACAAGATTCAGAATCACATGACATAATATTCAAAATGTCAAGAATAATTCAAAATCATTTGGAATATGAAGATCCCAAAAAATCTCAACTCACTTGGAAAACTGACAATCAATGGGAGTGCCAAGAAAACACAGATATTAACATTATATGGCAAGGGCTTTAATCAGCTCTTATAAAAATGCTTAAACAAAATTGCAAAGAATCTTGACAATAATGGAAAGACAGAAAGCCACAGGAAAAAAAATGAAGATATGAAGAAGAACCAAAGAAAATTTTAGAACAGAAAAAATATAATAAGTGAAATTAAAAATTCATTGGATAGATTTAATAGCTAAACAGAGATGCTAAGGGAAAGAGTCGGTAAACTTGAAGCTATAGCAATAGGAGTTATCCAGTTTGAACAACAGAAATAGACCTGGGGTAAAAACCAGAGCCTTGATGAACTACAAAACAATAATAAAAAGATATAATATTTTTTGTCATGAGCCCCAGCACTAGAAAGAGTATAGTGCATAAAAACTATTTGAGGAAATAACCAAAAACCTCTCAATTTTGCTGAAAGACATGAATTTGTAGAGTAAACAAATGTTAAATAATACTATACAGGATTGACTGAAAGAAATCCACACCCAGACACACACTAGATAGTGGTGAAAACTAAACACAAACAAACACTTTGCAGCAGCCAGAGAGAAATGACACTTTGCTTATAGAGGAATCATGATCTAAATGATAGCAAATTTTTCATTAGAAACCTTGGAGGCCAGTAAGAAGTAGTTTTTAAAGTGCTGAAAGAAAAGAACTCTCAATCCAGAATTCCCTAACAAAACTCACCTTCAGGAATGATAACAAAATACAGATATCCTCAGACAAAGAATTCATGACTAGCAGATCAGCTCTAAAAGAATGAGGAAGTCTTCAGATGGAAGGAAATGATACCAGAAGTAAATTTGGAACATCAGGAATGAAGTAAGAACATCAGCAATAATAAATACAAAGATGAATTTTCTCCAGTTTCTTTAATGAATATTTGACAGTTGAAAGCAAAAATGGGTAGGTTGTTTAATGGGGTTTGAAATCTATGGAGATTTATTACATGATAACTGCAACATCCAGCCTGGGTAACATAGTGAGATTCTATCTCACAAACAAAATAAACACTCAATACAATGTTTCTGTTTTGGTAGAGCTTTGAAAAATTGTTCTATCCATGTGACAGCTGTTTAGACATTCTAAATCAACCATCTGACCATTTTTCTTAACCTAAATTCCATCATGAAATATTGTTTTCTTTCAATGTTTCAAAAAGGGAATAGCTCTAGGGATGGGAGAGTTGAAATACCAAAAGAGGAGGCCACCCCCCCATAGAGACTGGTCATTTTTCTGTGTAGATGTCAAGGTGTGTGAAATATATTTTAAGTTATTGAGATCAGTCTCACATGGGGAGGGGAAGCACCTCTCATACAGAGGTGATGGGAGAGAGTAAGTACAAGACAAAGAATCCCATGACTTTGAGGTTTCTTTTTTTATCTAGAGTGGCTGGCAATGCTGTTCCCTGAATTAGATAATATAAGAAAAGATAGGCAGAGAATTTAAAAAGACTTGAGAGAAATGATGCAAAACTCAATTTTACTGGTTTATTTATCTTTTAAGTTTTCACAGCTGCATCATCTCTTACTTTAGCGTTTGCTTAAGGGCCTCCAGTTTGACTGCTACAGAGGCAATGTGGTTTTAATACAAAAGGAGTCAAAGGGAGCAACAGCCATTATGTTTAACAGAGAACATCAAATCTCCCTCAGAAGTAATGGAAAGTTTGCAGTGGGAATTTCTTCTATGGGTCCCTGAAATGCAAGGAAGAAGGAATCCTCAGAACCTATAGTGTCTGTGATAGAAAGACTCTAAAAGAAGGAAGCCAGGATTTCTTATCCATGATGAATTTGGTTCTCCCTGGTGGCAACTGTCCAGGAAGCCAGACCCTTCCTGCTCAAATGATGTGGTTTCCTAAGGGGCATATAAATAGTTCTCTCCCCAAGAAAAGCATTAAGAATTAAAAACCAGGACTCTGCCACGCATTGCAACTGTCAATGTGGGCAACAGAAGGGTGCCATTAGCAAAAGCAGTCCTGGGAGCATGCAAGGCAAGGTTGCTGGAGAGGTGACAGGATCACGTGGTGCACAGGAGATGGAGTCAGGCACGGAGCAGAGACTACAGTGCCAAGAACAGCTGCAGGCACTGTCCAAAATGTAAGGAAGGGGGCAGGGGGCCGACTCTTATGGTGTGGGTAAGAGGAATGGAAGAAGAAGGAGTAAGGAGTCTATAAGGATTTGTAGTGAGGATAGCAAAGCTTTCTATCAATGGATGCTATGTAAGCCATGTGACTACAGAGACCTCACGTTTTTAGGAAAAGTGGGAGAAATGTGAATATGATCAAAGTACTTCATACACATGTATGAAAATAGAATAATGAAGCCTGTTAAAAATTGTTCAAAAAGGGGGGAAGAGAGGATAAGAAAGAGCAGTAAAGGGTGTGAATTTGATCTAAGTACATTATATGCATGTATGGATATAATGAAACCTCTTGTCCAATTAATATAGACTAATTAAAAATAATTCATTTTCTGAATCCCTTAAACTTCAAATAAGTATTTCAATTTACTCATTTTGTTATAACCATTTATCTCTGATGGCCTTAGTTAAAACCCCAAAGACTAAATGCTGGTACATTTGGCCTTCTGTATCTGTGGGCTCTGCATCCATGGATAAAACCAATGATGGATTGAAAATATTTTTAAAAATTCTCCCTCCCCCAACTCTGGGGGCTCACTTTAATCTCTTCTATCTCAATAAACTCTCACGCTTTATACTTTTTCTCCATGTTGAACATGTACAGATCTTTTTTTGTGTCATTATTTCCAAAATAATACACAGTATAGTAACTATTTGCAGAGCATTTGCTTTGCAGTAGGTATTATCACCTAGAGATGATTGAAAGTATATGTGTAGATGTACATGGGTTCTTTGCAAATACTATGCCATTTTACATAAGGAACTTGAGTGTACACGAGTTGTGGTAAAAGCATGAGTCCTGGAACCAATCCCTGCAGATCCAGGATGACTGTGCTTTCTTTATTACTAGAGGCAGTATGATGTAGCAGATAAGATACAATGGCTTGAGCAAATGCTGGAGCTAGACTCTGTGTGCTCCATTCTACCTCCACTACTTATTAGCTGTGTGCCCTTGGGCAAATTACTTACACTTTCCATGACTTAATTTCCCCATCTGTGAAATCAGAATGATAATACCAGTGCCTGTGTACCTCATAATGCTGTGGTGAGGATTAAATCTACCTACAATAATTTTGAGAAAGAACTCATTAGTGAATGCAGAAGGCAGGTAGCAGAATGACTGGTAGATAGTAAGCACTATTATATTTACTATTATTTCTGACACTCCTCATGGTTATTTTAGTCATTATATTAGAGGTATGCAAAAGTCCACCAACAGACCCAGCAAGTCCCACGATTCTCAAAAGCCTGGAAGATCACCCAGCCGTGACATTATCTCTTGACTTTTTAAATATTTAGTTCATCTCAGTTTGCTAAATCTCTCCCTTTTTATTCTCTAGAGTTGAAAACATGTCAATGCGGCTGGAAGAAATCAACGAAAGAGAAAACTTTATGAAAACCTCCCTGCAGACTGTTGACCTTCGACTTTCTCAACTTGAAGAATTGTGTAGCAGAATGGTGAATGCCCTTGAGAATCTTGCAGGAATTGACAGGTCTGATCTGATCCAGACACGATCCAGAGCTTCATCTGAGTGCGAGGCCACCTACCTTCTGCGCCAAGGCAGCATCAACAGCGCTGATGGCTACAGCATGTACCGCTACCATTTTAACGGGGAGGAACTGCTGTTTGAGGACACTGCTCTCTCCATGTCATCAGGGACAGGCTTCAGGAAAAAGACCTGCTCCTTCCGAGTGAAGGATGAGAAGGATGGGAAAATACACCTAGCCCCAGAGCGCCAGACCAGCCTCCATTTTTCAAATGGCCCCAGCCCTCCAGCAACACCAGACCGCAGTCAGCTTGCAATAGAGGATGCCAAGAATGCTTCAGAGTCCAAATTGGGTCCAGATATCGGGATTTCAACTGAAGATGATGAAAGGCAGGCTGACTCTAAAAGGGAAGAGATGACTTCCCCAAGTTTAAATCCAACAGATGTTCTGCATGGACAGAACAAGTCAGAGTTTCCAAACACTCAGCTAACAGTGGAAACGACCAAGATGGAAGGCACTATTTCCTGTCCCCTGGGAGAAACCAAAATCTCACGTTATTACCCAGATGACACAGTCAATACTTACAAAACGATGAAGTCCAGAAGCGTTGTCTATTCCGAAGGTAGAAAGCTAGTCGGTGGACTTAGCAACTGGAGTGCTGAGTACAGCTCAATCATGGACCAAGCATGCTCCCCATCTGTTCAGCAATGGACTACAGAATGGAAATATCAAGTGCAAAAGATCACACGTTCTCGGAGCACCGATATCCCCTACATGGTGTCCGAAGCTGCAGTGCAAGCTGAGCATAGAGACACAGAAACAGAAGATGAGAACTATGTTTCTCAGAGAGTCCCTCATATCTCTCATTTATCCCTCATGGTGACTGACAGGACTGAGAAGGAAAATTTACTCTCTGTGGGATTCCCCTGCCTAAGGTCAAGAAGTTTGCATGGCCATCCTAGGACTATCAAATCCACCCAGGCCAAATTAGATGGTTCCAGGCTTGCCAGTAGCATAAGTAACTTGGTAGTTGTGTCTTCATTTACAACGGAAGAACTAAAGGCTAAGCAAGAACAAACTTCCACAGAAACTGATTGCTAATTCACTTTCTCTGTTTTTTTTTTTTAAAACCAAAACCAGGAATGGGTACCATCTTGGCCATGTAAACATCATCCATTTCTGAAAATGCTTTCATTAAAAACTGCTGGAAATTTGAACTTACCTTTAATTTTAATGACAACACTTAAAGTAGTATTTTGTTAGCATACATTAATAGACTGAGTTTTTTTTAGTAGGAGCAGCATTGAATGAAAGTGACAAGATGCCTCTGGAGATAAATTGATTAGTTAGTATACAAGATTGTATGAGCTCTTTATTCCTGTAGGCCACCAAATAGCCTAAGAACTGCCTTTAGGCATTTAAGTCACCACCAGGTCACTTAAAGAAAAAGGAACCATATAAGAAAGAGAAATTAAGGAAAAGGAGAATGCTTACAAAAAGGAAGGGGGAAGAGAAAAAACTAGATAGTATAAGAAATGAGAAGCAGGAAGGAGTCATACACATATGTTTTATGGAGGTTTTTTATGTTTTAAAATTACACAATGGGAAAAAAGTACATGATTAAATCAAGTATCACGATAATTATTTAGGGTGACTGGATTTTTTTGTATGTAAAAATAAAGTACCTGATATACATTTCTTATTGTCATATAGCAAACCTCAATAGCAAACACAATTTAACTATACCTCTGTCAAGTGATGGTTAGTGCAGAGCTATGACTAAAACCTAAAGTATAAACGTCTAAGAACCACAGAGATTGCCCAAGGCTGGGAACACGAGCTGTTTGGCTTTTGTCAAAGCCAAACAACAATATAGAGAAGGCTGTCCAATAAAGGAGCTTTTATTTGAGAATAAAGATTGTAATCTGGGACACATAGGCACTGGCCAGCATGGCCTCTGGTATGACCGGAGAACAAAGGAAACAGTTTTATCGGGACAGAGACATCTACACTAGTTATTATAAAAGAGAGTTCATTGGCACTTTCAGTGTTGCGGGAGCTGGCAAGCTCCCTTTGCCAGGAGAGCCAGTTCCTATGTAAAGCTAGTCTTAAGGTCACAGATGGCAATTTCATCAGTTGCTAGGTAAAAATTGTCTTAAAACAAGGGCAGGCTGTTTGCCTGGTTCTGAGATAATTCCTGGAATAGGTGTCTGTGACCTGAAGGTCTTCCCTTCTTTCCCATGGACAGTCAACTTCATTGTAGTGGTGTATGACAGAAGTGACTCCATTTTTTATAATGAATTTTCAGAAAATAAACACCTATCCCCAGGACGAGGGCCCCATGCAGGAGTTTGGGGGTAGGGGCTACTGTCTAGAAACATGGTAACCCCATGACCGCTACTCTTGACTATAAAAAAAGCAGCTGAGAGGGGACTTCTCTGGCTAGAATGGAGGTTAGAGTTAGACCCTGGACCACTACATCCCCCAAGAGTACCTCTTATGAGGTCTCACGGGTCTCTGGAGCACACAGACAGGGCCAGCCTCCTGTCTGGAGTCACTGACAGCTCCAACTTTGGCCGAGTGTGTCCCACCTGGAAAGAACCTCTAGGGAGTTTATCCAGGAAATGATGGTAGTAGGGTATGGGGGGGTGTCATACAGAAACGGGAGATGTTCAGAAAGATGATCAATACTTCCCTTCTCATCTGAAGCAGACGGTTATGGCAGGGAGAGAGAGGGATAGGGAGAGGGACAGGGGAGAGGGAGATGGAGAGGGGAGATGGAGAGGGGAGATAAAGAGGAAGGGAGAAAGAGAGGAAGAGAGAAAGAAAGGGGAGGGAGGGAGGGAGGAAGGAGGAAGGAAGGGAAGGAGGAAGAAGGAAGGAAGGGAAGAAGGAAGGAAGGAAGAGAAAAGAAAAAAAAGAAAGAGGGAAGGAAGGAAAGAAAGAAAAGCTGTGGACACTTATACTAAAGATACTGATCAAACATGATAATACCTAAATGTGACTGACTCACTCTTCTCAAAGAAAGACTGAGATTTTATTAGATTGGAATCCCTCAACTGAGTCAAATTTATCAAGAAGGGCTGATCTATCATTGCTTGCATGGTGGGGGGGGAGTCTTTGGAATTTAATAAACAATAACATTCATTTAGCAAATAAAGCTTATTACTTTTTGTGAATGGCTGCATTGAAAATCAATGCTGATGTGTGTGTGTGTGTGTGTCTGTGTATGTGTGTGTCTGTGTATGTGTATTTGATTCAATGTTTGACCCATTACATTTTATCTCATCTCTAAGTCTTTCCTTTTGGTAACAATGAAATTTCCAGCTTTTGCCATGTTCTAGAAAAATGAAAATTTCACAAAATAAGTTGAAGATCCTATGACAACTCAACAGAGCTGGTAAGAAGGTAAAGCTTAGCTTTGGGATTCTTGACATCTCCCTTCATTACACAGCCCGCCCCCCTTTCTGAGGCCTCTCCCATTTCGCCTCAGGAATGTGCAAGTGTCCCATTCTCTTAAGTCCTGCTAACATTTGCACCACCTATCTCTTGTCAAGGTGTTGGCTGGAATCAATTTTTAATGCAATGTTTTCTAAAGTGATTTGTCTTACGAATCCAAATAGGTACATTCTAGTGGTAGACTGTCAGAACCTATGGTAGGCTGGAAATTCTTGAGACCTTTCTCTGTCACCTTAAGTACACTATGTAGCTATCTATGAACTTCCCCAACAGAGTACAACTCAAGTATTATGAGTGTTTGGTATGACATTTACAATTTTGTCTAAATATGGGGAACCAAATATTAGGAACTAACATCCAATGTAACCAAATCTAGCACTATGTAGTACATTAAGATAAGAACACTGTGTATGTTTACGTAATGTAATATAGAACCGTCACGGTCAATAAATAAAAATTCTAAGCAGGGGGTGGTGGTGCATGCCTGCGACCCCAGGTACTCAGAGGCAGTTGCAGGAGGATCATAATTTTTGAGATGAATCCAGGCAAAGTTAGTGAAACCCTATCTCAAAAACAAGGTACAAAGAAAGGGGCTGGGGTGTAATTCAAACGAGATAGCTCTTGCCTAACATGTGTGAGGCCATGGGTTCAATTCCAATACCACACACACACACACACACACACACACACACACACACACACACACACACACTGTCCTATATAAAACATAATAAGAAAAAGAACAAGAAGGCTTTTACTCATATATCCCCAACTGTCACAGTCATGAATGAGTTATGGTATTTGGCATGAACCAAGTTTATTTTGGATTTCCATCTATGGAAATTAAAAACTTATATCAAAAACCTCATTTTATAATGGTTCTTATTTGAGACTCCATGACTTTAAATTCTGAATGTATTTTGCATTGAAACCACAAGGTTTCAATGGTCTTCAATAATTTAGAACTCAAAATTTAAAGTTAAATTGCTAATACTGTCATACAGTTATTTCAGATCAAAAATGCATTTTGGCTGAATTCTTTGGAAATAAAATCCTTTAAACAGACATTTAGAGAAAGTTTTATTATAAAAGATACAGAAAAGCACACAAAACAAATATATGACCTAACTGATTATTATGAGTATCTTTAAATGACCACACAGATTAAAAAAATATGCCATGCCAGGCATGGTGGTACATGCCTGTAGTCTTCTGTTTGGCATGTTCTTCTGTTTCTGCATGTTGGCAGGAGAACCATGGGCTTCTTTAGTTAGGCTCAGGTCTAAGGGCTTTGGCAAGATTGTGTTGCTTCTCCAACCACGAGACACCTGTGTCTACTTGTCTTTTTGCGACTTCAGCAGATACTGATGCTCAGTGCCTAGATCCCTTAATTCATACATTCTTAAAAGCTGTGATAGCCAAAGTCTGGTATTTCTTTTTCATTTTGTACAGTTCATACCATCCAGCAGAGCTAATGACCATTGCTCCCATTTACCATTTTTCAAAAGAATGAATTGGTTCTCTCTCCAGAAGTGACTGATAGTTCAATTTTAAAAAACACCCTTAGGTGGCAGTTTAGCTCAAGTTGTAGAGTGCCTGAATAGCAAGCAAGAGGCTCTGAGTTCAAAATCCAGTACCACCAAAAACCCAAAACAAAACAAGAAACACTCTTATGATTTTATGGATTTAAGCATATATGATGTGTTCAATCCATTGTAATTATTATCTCATTTTTTTTCTTTGAGTACCTTAACTATGTAACTCCATTTTCTTCTGGCATAAGTGCTGTTGCCAAAAAAAAAATCTGAGGACAATCTAATTTTCTTTCACCTAAAAGTCACTTGTTTTGTTTAGATCCTCAAAGAAATTTTCCTTTTCCTCCAGGATCTATCTGTATATTGGATCTCTTTAGTCTACCTTAAAATATTTGCTGTCTTGAGCCTAGTCCATTTTCCCTCTTTTCATTGCTCTTTGACTTAATTTTTTTTTCTCCTTTTCATCTTCCACTTTTATTAAGGCATCAGCAACTGTGTTATGAATCCTTGGGTTTCTTAGTTTACTCTTCATTTCAGAAATACTTTTTTCTCTTATTTCTAATTCTATTCATGCTTGCTACACAGGTGCTCTTACCACTTGAGCTACTCCACTAGCCCTTTTAGGCTTTGGGTTATTTAGAGATAGGGTCTCCCAAAGTATTTGCCCAGGGCTTCAAACCATGATCCTCCTGATCTCTGCCTCCTGAGTAGCTAGGATTACAGGTGTGAGCCACTGATGCCTGCCTGGTTTTCTTGAACTTTTTGAAGAAAGTAGTTTTAAAGATAGCTTTTATAATTTCACAGAAACATCTTCTGTTGTTGTTATGTAGTGTAATTTTTACTTCAAAGTCAGGTTACTTTGGAGATTTCCTGGTCCCCTATTTTATCTGGACCTTCTTTTGTCTTTTTCTCTGTTGTCTTTATCCTGCTCAATTCTGTTTCCATGTCTAGCAGTTTGTCCTCAGTGTGGGTCCTTTCCTGAAAGGAAGGCTAGTAGATTAGTTTGCAGAGTTCTTGCAGCTCTGTTGCTCCAGCCCCTCCAGATTCCACCATGAGCCTCATGTACTCTCATTATTTTTTAATTGTACAAGATAATGGGTTTCACTATGACTTTTCCACATATGTACACATGTAGTTCATTTCACTCCCCATCACCCTCCTTTGCTCCCCTTCCCTTCTCCCCTAGGCCCTCCCCTGCATAGTCCTCCCCCCATTTAGGTTCCTGGCTGTTTATGTTTGTACCTACAATCTGTGTATGCACCCTTGTGCTTTTTTTCCCCCTCCCTTTGGAGGTACTCAGGTTTGAACTCAGGAACTTGTACTTGCTAGGCAAGTGCTCTACCACTTGAGCCACTCTGCCAGCCCACTCTTATGCTTTTGAAGAAAGCAAATAGCCCTTTCTATTTCAACCTGATTGGCTGGGTCTTCCAGCAAATATCTTTTGGCTAGTATGAACTTTTCTGTGTGCTTCCTTTTTATTTTTTCTGATATTACAAAGACTATATGACAGCTACTGGTTTGTTAGTACCACTTGATTCTATTTGGAAATTGTGGGGTTATCATTTTCCTTAGATTGATGTTGGCCTTGGGTTTTGATTCTGGTACATAGTTGTTTTGCCTGTATTTATGCGGGAACTGAAAAACTGTTGCTACTGTCATCTTCCCAGAATTTTCTTTTAAGAAACAGACTTTTTAAATTATTTGTCTTAAAAATCATATACTCAGTCAAAGGCAGAGCTTTGTAGATACCAGTGTAACACCTTCTAACCTTTTCCACTGCTACCACCATCACCTGCTTTTATCTGGACTATTGTAATTGCCCCTTCCCCCACTAGTCTCCCAGCTTCCCTCATGCTATACCAATACAGCAGTTGGAAAGATTATTTTAAAATGCAAGTCAGGTCATGTGACTCTCAGCTCTCTGGAAAAAAAAAAGCTTTCCAACTTTCAAGGCCTATGTGGTCTGGCCTGTTGTTTTTCTCTGACCTCCTCTCTCACTGAATTAGGCTGCTTCAGCCACTCTGGCCTCACCACACAGGCTCCTACCTCAGGGCATCCACACTGCTAACCTCTCCATTGGAAAAGCTCTTCCTTCTACTTCCCCTGGCTTGCTCCCTCACTCCCTTTTGTTTCTGTTTAAGTGTCATCTAATCAGAAAGGCCTTCTCGACCACACCTAACTCTGCATCGAGGAAAAGAACCATCTTTCTCTCCTGTGTTTAGGTGCTTCCTTTCCTTCACAGCACTGGTTGCCATGTGACATTATGTATTCATTTTTTTCGATGACACTGGAGTTTGAACTCATGCCTTTGAATTTGCAAGGCAGGAACTTTACCACCTAATCCACATCTCCTATATGTTAATTTTTTATATCTTTCTATTTAGAATGAAAATGCTGTGAAAGTAGGAATTTTGTCCTATTGGTATACTGAATAGTGCTTGGCACAAGGTTAGCACTCAAAGCAAATCTGTTAACTGAAGGAGTGACTGAATAAATATATAAAGTATTTAGCACCTGATAGTTATTTGAGAAATATTTGATTTTTTCTTCTTTTATCCAATAAAAGGAAGTGATCTTTAGGGGATGTTACTATTCTCCATGATAGAAGAAACCATAATGGAAACAGTTGTGTAGCCAGAAAAACAGGTGAAGCCGATCAAAATAGTGACCTAAGAGTCAAGAGAAGGGTTGGCCAAATATAACGAACAGTTGAGGAGTACAGGATCTGAGAAGAGGCTGCAAGGGTAGTTAGTGCTATGGACTGAAGGCATCCCTTCAAAACGCATCTTTGAAGTGCCAATGGCCAATATGACTACATTTGAAGATAGGGTCAGTAGGGGATAATTAAAGTTAAATGAAGATATAAGGTGGGGGGATCCTAATCTGATAGGATAAGTGCCTGTCATCCTTACTATTTGGGAGGCTGAGTTTGGGAAGGTCACTATTCCAGGCCAGCCCAGGCAAAAAACATTTGTGACACCCATCTCAATGGAAAAAATAAGGGCATTGTGGCATACACCTGCATCCTAGCTATGGCAGGGGGCATAAAATAGGAAGATCATAGCCCAGGCCAGCCTGGGCAAAAAGTGAGACCCTATGTCCAAAAATAATCAGAGCAAAAAGGGATGGAGGTGTGGTTCAAATGGTATAGCCTAGCAAGTATGAGGCCCTGAGTTCAAATCCCAGTACCAAAAAAAGAAAGAAAGAAAAAAGAAAAACGAAGCTCATTATCTAACTGCCCCATTCCCACTACCACATGAGGGCCCAGCAAAAAGGCAACCACTTGCAGACCAAGCAGAAAGTCCTCATCAAAGCCCTCTTGTGCTGGACGGTGACTGAGGATTTCCTGAGTGGTGAGAAATACACCGCTAGTCTATAGTATTTTGTTATGGTCGCCTGAGTGGATTAACACAACCAGGTATCCAGAAAATGTCATCAAATTTAGTGTTAAGTCAGTAACAAACCTGGAAAGCAGATCTTTTCACTTTTTAATTTATATGGTCACATACATACTAGAATTATAGAAAACCAGAAGGGCAAAAGTGAAATCACAGAACAAGTCACACAAGTAAAGAGAAAAACTCACAAAGTGCTTGAAGATTTTTGGGGGGAGAGTCAACGTCATATACAGAAATAACAGAATATTCATAATGTTTAAATGTGTGCATAGTATTTTGTGTGTGTTGTGTGTGCATAGAGCCAGCGTTTGAACTCAGGCCCTTGCACCTGCTGAGTACGTGCTCTAACACTTGAACCACACCTCCAGTCCTTTTTGTTTTAGGTATTTTCTAATGGGGTCTCACGTTTATGCTCTGGCCGCCCTGGACTGCAATCCTCCTACTATTTACACTTCTCATGTAGCTGGGATCTCATGGGTGAGCCATCATACCTGGCCATAAACAAGTTTTTTTTTTTTTCTTAACAGGAATAATCTAATGCAATTGACATGTTAAAGTATAATCACAGGAAGTGGAGTTGTTGCTCAAATGGTAAAGTGCCTGCCTACCAAGCACAGGGCCCTGAGTTCAAAACCCAGTACTAAAAAAAAACAGTACAATCATGTGTTACCCAAACAGAAACAGAGAGATCAGTGGGGTTCTGAATCCATGGTTAAGTTATTTTCAAAAACAGAACTTTCTCAGTCTTTGCTTCAAAAATTTTTTTTCTCTTTTATTTTACAGTACTGGGGTTTGAATCCAGGGACCTGCACTTGCTAAGCACTCTACCATGAGTCCCATCTCCAGTCCTTTCTGCTTTATTTTTCAGATATGGTCTTGTTTTTTTGCCTAGGCTGGCCTTAGACTTATTTAACCCTTCTACTTATGTCTTCTGTTTAGCTTGGATTACAGAAGTACACCACCAGGCCTGGCTTATTTATTGAGATGGAATCTCACTAACTTCTTGCCTGGGGTGGCCTCAAACCACGATCCTTCTGATCTCTGCCTCCTGAGTAGCTGGGATTATAGGTGCGAGTCAGCCACCATGCTCAACTTTTGCTTCAATTTTTTTAATGTAAGAAACATTAGCAACACTAATGAGAGCTTCCCTGTGACACTAATCACAAAATGCTGAATGGAAGTTTTATTCTCCAAAGTATAAGGCTGGGGGCATGGCTGAAAGTGATGGAGTGCCTGACTTGCAAAGTACAATAAGGACAGAGTGCTTGCCTGGCAAGATCAATCAATCTATCTATCTATCATCTATCTACCTACCTACTTATCTATACTTGCAACACCACTAGCCCCTACCACCCAAGGCTGTTCCAGTTAACTAGTATTTTAAGAGTTTACAAATGTTTTGCACAGTGAGGCGCCGGTAGCTCACAGCTGTAACCCTTGCTACTTAGGAGGCAGAGATCAGATGCATCGCAGTTTGAAGCCTGCCCCAGGGAAATAGTTCAGGAGACCCTATCTTTAAGAAAAAAACCCAAAACAACAAAAGGGCTGGCGGAGTGATTCAAAGCGCTAAGAGTGCCAGCCTAGAAAGCCTGTGTTAAAAACCCAGTGCCGCCAAAAAAAACAAACCAAACCAAAAAAGAAAAAAGAAAAAAGAAAAGCCTTGCACTTGACATATTTGTCTCTTCCTTGAAACTAATGGGCAGATTTTCTCTTCCACATCCTATTATGTCCCCAGTTCTTTAGTTTCTGACTTTCGCTGGGCTTTTGATCATTTATCTGCTCACTAGCATCTGTGTATATGATGGGCAAGAAAATAAAGGTAACTTGCTTAATATTGTTTTTCACATTAAAGTTTAACGAGAGGCTAGAAATAAATTAACTAAACTGACACTGCCTGCCAATGTCACCTGTCGGGTCCCCACGTCTCACGCCAAGTCTCAGCATCCCATGGAAAGCAGGTCCTACCGGCTCAACCTGCTTCAAAGTTCGCGCAGAGACCGGGTGATGGGAGAACACCCTCCCCAAGTGTGGGGATTGGGAGGGAATTTCTCACAGGCAGCACGGCCCGCGCTGACATCTAAACCTGGTCACCTTTGGTTGCATCGGTGTCGGTGCCGTGGTACAGATGTCCCCTTCCCCCAGTCCCGCGCTCGTCCCCCACGGCCTCAAAAACAATGCTTTCTCAGGCCCGATGACTAACGAGCAGCAGTTAAGGGAGAGTCTCACGAAAAGACGAAATGGGGTTCCTGGGGACAGTGGCGACAGTGGATACCCCGAGCTACGTGCTAGAGCCGCTTCGCGCTCCCGCCATTACCCGCGCGAGCCGCCGTCGTTGACCCCTGCGTGCCGCCGTGACCCCTGCGTGCCGCCGTGACCCCTGCGTGCCGCCGTGACCCCTGCGTGCCGCCGTGACCCCTGCGTGCCGCCGTAGGAACGCCCACCGCAGGCCGCGTTCTCAAGATGGCTGCCAGGCTCCACTCCCCCCAGTGCCCTGTCTGAGGGCCCGCAGTGGCGCTCGGCTCAATCCTTTTCGTTCCGGTGCCAACGCGGCCTAGAGGCTTGGGAGCGGCGGGCGGCCGGCCCTGCACGGGCCGTCTCGCGAGGCGGGGCGCTGGGCCCCTTCCGGGGATGGGCCCCGGCGTTCGCGTTGGCCCGGCTCTGCCCCGGCTCCTCCCCGCTCGGGCGGGCGCTTTGCTGTGTCCCCGCCCGTCAGTTCGCCCGGCGGGGCCGGCCGCAGACGGGACCTGGGCAGTCGCACCGGGAGCGCTAGGTCCAGAGGCGTCTGCAGGCGTCAGCACTGCCGCTGGCCCGCGACGGGGCCCGGACGCCAAGGCGGCGGCACCATGTTCTCCCTCAAGCCGTCCAGACCCACTTTCAGGTCCTACCTCCTGCCGCCGCCCCAGGTAAGCCGCGCCCCCGTCTCGGGCTGGACCCCCAGAACCCGGACCCGGAGGAGGCTGCGCCGCTGCCCTGCCCTCCACTGACGCGGGGGACTCGTGGATCTCGACTGCGGCCATTCTCTGCCCCGAGTCCTGTCTGGTGACCCCGGGGAGCGTCCGCAGCTGGATTTATTCAGTGCCCAGCCCTGCGACGGCCCCCGCTGTTACCTGTCGGTCACAAGTATGCACGCCTGGAACGCTCAGGCTGATTAATGTTTTTATTGTCAGGCTCCTAAGTCGATCCTGAAGTTTTTTTTTTAAGTGGGACAGGTTTGAACTCAGGGCTTTGCACTTGCAAAGCAGGAACTCTTGTCGCTTGAGACACACCTCCAGACCATTTTGCTCTGGTTATTTTGGAGATGGGGGGGTCTTGCGAACTATTTGCCCCAGCTAGCCTCGAACCGCGATCCTCCAGATTGCAGCCTCCCAAATAGCTGGGAGTACAGACGTGAGCCGCCGGCAGCCGGCATAAGCAAATCTTAAAAAGAGCTGGTTTAAGACGCCAAAAGAGTTGGAGTGGGAGGATAAGTTTCTGTCGCATGTGTCCTCACGTAGGAACCAGGAGATTGGTCGCAGTGTCTTTTGCCGAGGGCTGTGGATTTTGGTTTATTTTGTTAATGTATTTCAGACTGACGATAAGATCGGTTCGGAACCGAAGATTAAGAAACTGGAGCCAGTCCTTTTGCCAGGTAAACGTTACAGAGCTTCAACAGACATTTTACTAAAGTGTTTCGGTTTATGACTGTTCTGTCGAGTAGTGTCATGTGGTTAGCTTTCCTCTTCTAGTTACTTTAAACTGTCTGCAGTTAAAACGCTAACGACTAAGGAGAGAAAAAGAACGGGTTAGAGATAATTGGTGTTTCTCCCTGGAAGTTTAAAGCATTATAGAAAACTGTCAAGAATATCACTACGTCGTTTTCTTTTTTGTCTTCCGAAGTATTCTTTTGGAAAGGAAGTGTTTAATTGCTTGGGAAGTGAAAGGTTTTTTTGCCCTACATATCTGTCTGCATCTTAATACATTTAAGAGTAATAGTCGAATCACCATTTTAATGTGTTTTGATAGTATGAAAATCAACTTTTGTTGTGTCTGTGTCTGGACACTAGTAACAGAGCTTAGTGAACTTTGAATTACTTAGCAATATTTTTTTAAGTTGTCAGCTGTATTTGCAAATATGGCTTGTTTCAGTTTAGAATGGGGGTTTCCCAGTGGAGGCACTGTTGACATTTTAGTGCCAATAATTCCTGGTTGTGAGGGGCTGTCCTGATCTGAGGGCATTCCCTGGCCTCTGCCTACTGGATGCCATTCCAGGTATTGCTGTGTGTGTGTGTGAGGTGTGTGGTGTGAGGTGTGTGTGTGTGGTGTGAGGTGTGTGGTGTGGTGTGGGTGTGGTGTGTGTGCAGTGGACAAAATCTCCAGGTTGGAAACCACTCACTGTTTAGAACAAATTTACCTTAGAAATAAAGGTAGGAATTGGAGGTAGTCAGTTTAGTTTTACAGCATACAAAAAAAGAAAAGATTTGATTGATATTTTCAACTGTATAACAATGTATAATAATTAGGAAAAGTCAGTTGTTGTTTAATATGATTATTGGGGAAGTAGCCAGGTACTTAAGAAAACCTGATTTAATCAAATAACCGGTGTGTGTGGCCACTGTCAACATTTTAAAATGTCAGAGTCGTTACTTAAAGCCAAATTGAGCGAAATATTTAAACTTTGTAACTTAGTAACCAAATATGGGAACATAAAAATTTTAAATATTAAGAAGGGAAAAACATGTTTTAAAAAAGTGCACCTGTGGTTCCATATGGTAGATGCTAACTCTTAAAATAATTTTTAAAACTTTATTTGGGTGTCAGTTATAAATATTCTCTCTTAATTGTGTGAGTGCCTTTCACCCAGCATTTACTAATTAATCCTTGGTACTTTTCCTTTGAGTGAACAGTAGAACTACTGAGTAACCCTTGCTCCCTGTGTGTTCGTTTTCAGTCTTAGTCACTGGGCATTAGTAGGCAGCAATGGGAAACTACTCATCTTGAGTGAGTGCCTGAGAGCTGTTGAACTGTGGCTTCCTTTCCTTTGAACAGGCCTGATGCTTAGGCTCCCATTCCCCTCTCCCAATGCTATGCTTTGACACTGAAAAACAACATAGTCTTACTACAAATGCTAGTGCCTGCTCTTATTTAAATTAACTTTTAAATTTAAGGCATGCAGATGAAGTGTTACTAAATATCAGTAAGCTTAAAGAATTTTCTCATTGAAGGGTTATCTGTTCTTTAAAATTACTGAGAACTTACCTTTCTACTGAGAAGTCAGTTTTCTGGGGAAGATTTTAAACCCAGTTACTGATATTAAGTAGTTTAAGTGTCCTTGTTTTGTTTGGGGTTGTTTTTGTTGTTGGTTTTGGCAGCACTGGGGTTTGAATTCAGGACCTCACATTTGCTAGCCAGGTGCTCTTACCGTTTTAGCTACTCTGTCAGTGCCACTCTGTGAGCCTTTTCTTGTTTTTTGAGATAAGGTCTCTTGAACTGTTTGCCCGAGGCTGGCTTCAAACTGCATCCTTCCGATTGATCTCTGCCTCCTGACCAGCTAGGATTATAGGCATTAACCATCTGTGCCTAGCTTGTTTGTTTTTTTTTGAGACAGGGCCTTCCTATGTAGCCCAGGCTGGCCTTAAATTCAAAATCAGCCTCCCAAGTGCTGGGATTACAGGTATGTACATCAAGACCTGCTAATCACCCTGTTGTGGTCTCTATTTCCTGTTTCACCTCTCAAGTCATATCTGTGACTACCATCAGAACCTTTCTTGCCCCTTCTTTGGCCTGCAGCCTCCTATTCTACACATGTAATCTGGAAGACCAGTGGAAAGCAACTGAAGTAGTGGTGGTCTAACCACCTAGGCCAGACTAGCTCAGTGGTAGAATACATGCTTGCCATGTACCAAGTCCTGGGTTTGACCCCCAGCACACATGCACACACAAAACCAAAGGAACAAAAACCTAGGCTAGCATAGGGCTTTTACTTACTAACAGAGATTGAATAATATAGTCCTGGCCTCCTTATAGTCAGAAATGAAGAGAAAACTTGGCAAGTCACCTGTGGCTTTACCCAGGCACACAGAACAAGAAGTGATTGTTCAGAAACGCAGTGTCGCATGCTAATCTTTGGCATGATGCCTTGAGTCCAAGGATATCTTACTTCAGCTGCCCGAAGCTTGAACTTTTAATTCAATAAGCAGCTGAGAATTAGAACCCCAAACCAATTGTTTATCTGTGTGCATCATCATGTGCTTTGTTGGACTTAAGGCTAAATTTAAAGTGATCCTCATCATTGATTAGGTAAGGAAAGTGGAAGAGAATAACTAGTAAGTTAAGTTAGATTGCTGTTTATGTTAGTGACTTTCATCCTTGTTCATGAAAGTCTTTGAGACAGAGATTGTACCAAGTTTACCATTGTGATCCTGTTGACTGGCAGGATCCTGAAATAAACATTGACATATTTATTGGATGACTGAATGAATGAAAAGATCCCCTCAGATCACCTGCTTATATTGTTACCTTAGGCATGCCCACACAGAGATAGACCAGCTAATGGACTGAGTAAAAGGAAGAATGTTGTTTCATGCCAGACATCTAAAGAGAAGTATATTTGAGCCTGTAATGGAAATAAAGTACTCCGTTAGTGGTTATCCTTTGTGCTGACTTTTTTTTTTTTTCATCTTTTCATCATTACATGAATCTTGTTCTGACTTTAACAATTCTATTGTATACATGTAAAAATCACTCCAGTACTTTTAGAAAATAAAGTACAAGTGTAGGTGTGAGAGAGTGTGTTAGTGTGTATGTGTGTTTATGTTCCAGTGTATATTCATTAAGAACATATAGTGCCAGACCACTCGTCATGCCTTTTTCTGATAGTTGTGGATTAGCGGGTTCAGTGAGCTTGTGTGAATCTCCTGTAGGCAGGCTTTGTAGGAGAGCAAGGTGCCAGGGGTGTAGTGAGGGGTATAGTAAGTCTGGATCACAGCAGGCTGGGTGAGCTCTTGTACAAGGTAGAAGATTGTGACCTGAATTAGTGGTACCCGTCCGTATTCCAGTCAGGGACTGACATATTTATTTTTCTGTTGAGACAAGGTCTTACCACACTCAGACTCCTGGGCTCAAGTGACTTTCTTACCTCTACCTCCCAAGCACTGTGATTATAGACACATGCCACTGTTCTTGCCTGCATGATGGTTTTTGGCAGTCCTTGATGAAAATGAGAAACTGAGGGAGAGTGCAGCTTTCTTTCATAAGGCTGAATTTATTATGTGTTGTTTGTTTATTTATCTTGGTGCTAAGAAATTCAAACCCAAGACCAGCCTCAGACTGCAGTCCTCACCTTTGTTCTTAAAGTTGAGCATATAGACATACCATCACACCAGCTTATTGATTGACATGATGCCTCACTAACTTTTGCCCAGGTAGACCTTGAACTATGATCTTCTGGGTCTCTGCCTCCCAAATAGCTAGGCATGCCAGTGTGCCCAGCCAAAGCTGAATTGTTTTGATTGAGAGGATATTCTTCTGAGATTATGGCCTTCTAACTTCTGTAGTGTACCTATATTCTTTTGCTAAGTGATGGTGTAGTAGCTGTGGCTTTAAACAAGACTATTAAGTTGACAAAATACAAAGGTAAAAACTCTGTATTAGTCCCCTAAGTTGTTTTTCTGTATAGACCTTGTTTGGAATCTAAACTGGAAACCACCGGATGAGATTGTTAGAATATTATAGATATAATAATGAATATTCATACAGAGAAGATCAGTTCTACCACCTCACAAAAACTGTCTCTTCTTTTGACAAATTGTTTAACCCAACTCCACCTAGCCTAGGTATGGCCAACAAGGATAATAACTCACTCCACTAATGGCTCACTGACTCACACCTGTGAGCCAGGAGGCAGAGATCAGGAGGATCGCTGTTTGAAACCAGCTTAGTTCGTGAGACCCTATCTCAAAAATACCCAACACAAAAAAGGGCTGGCAGAGTGATTCAATTAGTAGAATGCCTGCCTAGCAAACATGAGGCCTGAGTGCAAACCCAGTACCACCAAAAAAATAAATAACCCACCCCAGATCGCAAGCATGAGTACAGCTCTCTTTCTGTATTTCTTAAGTTGGTACTAAGGGAAGAAATCCTTCTGGGGCAATGCTGCCAGAGGGCATAGTTCCAAAAAACCTGTCTGAAAGACTGAAGAACCCAGAGGAAGTGTACTGATGATGTTCAGGTCTCTGGATTTTATTATCCCTAAAGTCCAGCTAACAAAAGCCACAGAATTATTTTTGCTAAGCTAGTTCAAAGCATGTTTCTGACACTTGGACTTGTTGTGGCTTATAGGTTAATCTTCACAGCAGCCCTCTCAATTAAGGCACCAAACTTATTTTCATTTGACAGGGAAGCAAACCACAGTTTGCAGAGGTATGGCACCACTAGCAAGAGCAAGGGCAGAGCCTGGTTCCTAGGCTGTGCCTTTAGCAACTAAACAGGACAGTCTACCTGCTGCACTAGGGTACAGACTTATGCTTTGGAACTGTGGAGGGATGGATTGGATGTCAACCTAAGGGAGTTCTTTTTAACCAGTGAGGTAAACAGAGCTCTGTCATTAGCCCTGCCCTTCTCACAGCAGTGACAGATTTTGACCCAGCTTGA